AAAAAAAAAAAAGAAAAAAAAGAAAAAAAGTAACCAGTAGGTAGATGGTATACATTATCATATGTATGTAATCTAATATTGATTATTATATAGATAGGTGTTTTAACCACTTGAACTATGCTCGGTTTGACGCTATTTATTTTATATTAATATTAATTAGATACCAAATATAAGGGATATAAACTATTTAAATTTATTAATTATATCATATTTTTAACTTTTTTTTACGTGTATGACCACATATACATTTTATACAATAACTTTATATTTCAAAATTTTTTTTGCACCATTGTTTCATATGAAAAAATAGTGGATATAATGGTATTATATCAACAAATATATATCATAGTTATATTAGTAGATATCATGGTTATATAAGAAGTATATCAATAGTAAATTAAAAGCATATTAAGTATATATCAAATATATATCAGTGTTATATTAGTGGTAAATCATATAATCATATAGGGCAAAATACATTTTTGGTCCCTGAGGTTTGAGGAAGGTGTCTATTTGGTGCCTGAAGTTTCAAAATGAACACTTTTGATCCCTGAAGTTTGAGATAGGTGTCTAATTGGTCACTGAAGTTTCAAAATAAACACTTTTGGTCCCTGAAGTTTGAGGTAAGTGTCTAATTGGTTACTGAAGTTTCAAAATGAACAATTTTGGTCCCTGAAGTTTGAGGTAGGTGTTTAAATGGTCACTGAATTTCAAAATGAGCACTTCTGATCCTTAAAGTTTAAAGTAGGTGTCAACTTGGTCCTGAAATTTTAAAATGAACACTTTTGGTCCTTGAAGTTTGAGAAATAGTTTTAAATAGTCTTTTTTTTTTACTATTAATTAAATAGTATTAAAATGACGTGACAAATTGCAATTAAATTGTTTATTGTCGTTGCATGTGTGACAAATTATATTAATTGAATCATATATGTGTGACAAATTATATTAATTAAATCATATATGTGTAGGTGATGGTGTTTTCTCCCTCATCTCCTCATCTTTTCCTCTTTCTTTTTCTTACCTTTTTCCGGCGACCACCACGTCTTTGCTGCCGTTGTCCGCCATTCATACCGGACATATATCATTTAATTAATATAATTTGTCAAAACCATGTTGATCATGTTTGACAAATTAAGAAATTGGTTTTAGGAAAGTTTAAAATCACTTAAAATTGAATTTTAAGGTATCAATTATAGATCTCGTTTTTCAAAATCACTAATTCTAGCGTCACTCCTAAACACTCACTCCTAAACACTCCCTAAATGAAAAATCCCTAATTCTAAAATGACTAATGAATCCTTGCCAAATGCATGCTTTAAATTAGACTCAAATAAATTTAATTCATTAAAGAAGAATAAGTGATATTAGAATAAGTCATTTTAAAAAAAGAGATTCAAGTATAAGTGATTTTAAATCACCCAATAAAAAAATCTTCAAACTTTTCTAAAATCACTTTTTTTTAATTTGGGAAAGTAATTTTGACCATTTTTGCACTTGTCAAAATTACTCCCGCACATATTCTGAATCAAGTGGAAAAGCTCAAAGTCAACCAATACCAAGCTTATACATACGGAATGTTGGCCTAAGATATCTTTTTACTTCTTAAAATTCAGAAGATTTCAATTTTAATTCTAAAAATTCCTGGGATGTACGTTGACTTTCAGAGGCTTTTTCATCACGATCGTCAATTCTACCTTCTCCGACAGATCAACGTCGTCTCCGTCGACGGCCTTCCACTCCAATCGCCAAACCAAATTCGCAACGAAATACTCCAAATGAAGGATCGCCAGCCCAAATCCTGGACACATTCTTCTCCCTGCTCCGAACGGCATCATCTTAATCCCCTTGCTCCCTGTTATGTCAAACGCCGCCGTTTCTTCTTCCCCGCCGCCGCCCATCCTCATGAACCTCTCCGGCTTGAACGCCATTGGATCTTCCCACACTTTTGGATCCAGACCCATCTCCCCCACCATGAAATTTACTGTCCCATTTTTGGGTATCACGTAATTTCCCAAATTCGTGTCTTCTTTCACTGCGTGTGGCAGCAGGAAATGCGCCGGTGGGTGTCTTCTCAACCCTTCTAAAACCACAGCTTTCAGATATGGAAGCTTCTCCAATTCTTCTTCCTTCACCTCCTCCTCTCCTTTTCCCATAACCCCTTCGATTTCTGCTTAAAGTTTGCGTTGGATTTCAGGGTATTTCACCAAATTCGCCATTATCCACTGCAACGCCGTGGCGGTGGTATCCGTGCCGCCGTTGAGGAACTCGGAGCATAAAGTTACCATTTCGGTATTTTTAAGATTTCTTTTCTCATCGGGGAGCTCCAAATCGAGCAGCGTATCCACATATGACACCACGAATTCTTCTTCTTCTTCTTTTTGTCCTCCAATTTGGGCGGCTCTGTTTCCTCTGTTTTGAAGGGCCTTCCTTCTTGCTTCGATGAGAGAAACTAGTACATTCTCTTGGTTCCTTCTGAGTTGGAGAAACGCCTCCTAGCGGTTTCGGAGCAAAATTCTGGTCAATTTCGGCCAGAAATTGAGAGCGTTGAAACGCCCAAGATTTGACTGCATAGCTCGCTCCACCTTTGTGATTTCACGGATCTGGGACTCTTCAAGCTAGTCTCCGAAGCACATCAACGCCAACAAACACAACATCGCGTACCGAAAATGGTCGATGGCAATGACGGGGATTCGGGACTGAAGGCGATTGAGGAGAATATCCAAAACCCACTTGCGAGGTCCACCGTAGGATGCGACCCGCGAAGGATGGAGGATTTGGGAAGTGAGATTGCGGCGGAGGAGGCGCCAGAGCGGGCCGTAGAAGGCGGAGCTGACGCTGTGCTGGTTGCTGGAGACGAAGTTGCTCATCGGCAGGGCCGTCGGCGAAGAGAGCGCCGTTTTGGACCATGGTGGCGTGGGCAATGGAATGATCGGCCATGAAGACGGAGGGGTGGAGGCCGCCGATGCGAAGGGTGAGGACGGGGCCGTATTTGGCGACGAAGCCGCGGAGCAGAGACTCCATTTGAAGGGGGGATGTGCGGAGCCATAGGAGATTAGTGAGCATAGGGAAGGAGAGAGGGCCTGGTGGGAGTTTTGTGGAGCTTCGGAAGTGACAAAAAATGGAGTTTAGAATGGAGCAGATGCAGAGGGAGATGAAGATGATGAACATGAACATGAACCAGGTGATCTCCATTTTGGATCCCTTGTGTTTTCTGGTTCAATCTTACCAAAAACTCTATATATCAGAGTCAAACTCATATAAATATGTCATCTACACGCAGCTCCACGTTTGTGTCTAATGGTTTCTAAAGTCTTCCTTCGGAGAAATTAAAAGAAATTAAAAAGTCTTTGTTTTTCTAATAGTGCTGTACTGCTAGGCTCTTGTAGGAGTATGGCATAATTTTTTAGGAGGCTTTTTGGCTGTTGATTTATGCTTATATTGACCGCTACAGTGATTGTTATAATTAAACTCACAGACTTTTTAATTATAAAAACTTTGTTCCTTTTGGTCACTCTACGTTAATCTGGAGTTGAATTAAATATTTTTTAAGGTTAAATGATTCAAAATGTCCATAAACTTTATAGTTCCAATTCTACCCTTATCATTTAAAAAATTTCATTTCTACATTGACCTTTAAAAAATTGATTCAAATAGGTCCCTACACCTCTAACATTGTTCATTTTTTGTCTACCTCTGCCCTCTATCTGTAATTTAGCAACTACATATTTTCAATCACTCTTTTAACAATAAAACTATCTAATGACAGATTTGAATCAATTTTAAAAGTCAACAATCTATTCTATGCATTCGGACTTTCAAATGGCTCCCAATCTATCATTACAACCTTAAACTTTACAATGAAAAGTTATGAGCAGAGAGCAGAGCAAAAACAAGCAATTTAAAACCTCGGATTTATGTTTGCTTTCAAAGGCTTTTCCATCACGACGGTGAACTCCAGTTTCTCCGACAAATCAACGCCGTCTCCCTCCACCGCCGTCCACTCAAACCGCCATATCAAATTCGCAACGAAATATTCCAAATGAAGAATCGCCAGACCAAACCCGGGGCAGATCCTCCTCCCTGCTCCAAACGGCATCATCTTTATTTCCTTATTCCCCGTTATGTCAAACGCCGCCGTTTCTTCTTCTCCGGCCACCTTCACGAACCTCTCCGGCTTGAACGCCATCGGATCTTCCCACACCTTCGGATCCAAACCCATCTCCGCCACCATGAAATTCACCGTCCCGTTTTTGGGTATCAGGTAATTTTCAAACACCGTATCTTCTTTCACTGCGTGTGGTAACAGAAAATGCGCCGGTGGGTGTCTTCGTAACGCTTCTAAAACCACGGCTTTCAGATATGGAAGCTTCCCCAGATCTTCTTCCTTCACCTCCTCCCCTCCATTTTCCATAACCCCTTCGATTTCCGCGAAAAGTTTGCGTTGGATTTCAGGGTATTTCACTAAATTCGCCATTATCCATTGCAGGGCGGTGGAGGTGGTATCGGTGCCGGCGTTGAGTAACTCGGAGGATATGGTCACGATTTCTTCATCTGTGAGCTTTCTCTTCTCGTCGGGGTGCTCCAAATCGAGAAGCGTATCCACATATGACACCACAAATTCGTCTTCAATTTGGGCTCTGTTTGCTCTGTTTTGCTTGGCCGTCCTTCTTGCTTCGATCAAAGGGATTAGGATTCTCTCCTGCTTCCTTCTGAGTTCCACAAACGCCTCCCAGCGCTTTGGGAGCAAAATCTTGGTCAATCTCGGCCAGAAATTGAGGATGCTGAAACGTCCAAGTTTCAACAGCATCTCTCGCTGCACGCTCTCAATTTCACGAATCTGATTTTCGTCAAGCTTATCTCCGAACGACATCAACACCAGCAAACAGAACATGGCGTACTGAAAATGGTCGATTACAGAGACGGGGGAAAATCCCGATTCAGAGTGAGAGAGAAGGCGATTGATGAGAATATCCAAAACCCACTTCCGAGCTAGGCCGTAGGACCGGACCCGCGAAGGATGGAGGATCTCGGAAGTGAGATTGCGGCGGAGGAGACGCCAGAGGGGGCCGTACGGCGCCGTGTTGATGTTGTGTCGGTTGCCGGAGATGATTCCGGTCAAGGGAGGGGTGGAGGGGCGGTCGGCGAAGAGGGCGCCGGATTGGACGAGGGCCCTGTGGGCGATGGAGCGGTCGGCGACGAAGATGGAGGTGCGGGAGCCGATGCGGAGGGTGACGATGGGGCCGTATTTGGCGGCGGAGCGGCGGAGGAGGGACTCCATTTGGAGAGGGGATCGGCGGAGCCATAGGAAATTGGTGATGATGGGGATTGAGGGAGGGCCTGGTGGGAGATTTGTGGAGCTTCGGAAATGGGAAAAAATGGATTTGAGCAAATAGCAGATGCAGAGGGAGACGGTGAAGATGAACCAGGAGATCTCCATTTTGTGGGATTGAAGGTTGAAGATTGAACTTCAATCTCAATATAAGCATAAAAAAAAAGTGGTATCTGTAATTTAATTATTGTATCGGTCAGCAACATGCTGCTTCTCCTCCAAGTTTACATTTTTTTAATGGTTTCTGAAGGCTTTTCATCTAAACTCTCAATTTCTGTGTAGTAGATCTGTCATATTGGACATTGTATAAAAATTTCACATATTGACTTTTGTGTCATATACGACTAAAAAATAATAATAAATAAATAAATTCTGTCGCTACATGGATTGCAATTTTAGAAAGAACAAAAAAATTTAGAGAGGAAAAAAAGAAAGTTTCAATGTGACAAACACTTTGAAACATATCAATTGAGAAGGGGAGTGCATGTCATCTCCTGGTTTCCACTGCTGTGGGATATCATTCATCACATGTTAATCTCATTTATGTTAAAGCACATTTAAGGTGTGTTCGGAATATATGATTTTAGCATGGTTAGAGAAATACTTTCACTAATGTTAAAATCACTGCAATGATAAAATAATATGTTTAACAATAACCGACATGAACTTAACTTAACGGTAATTGACACCTGTCTACGACCAAAAAATCATGACTTCGAATCCCCTCATCTCATTTATTGTAGTAAAAAATACATGTTTGACAATAATTGGAAGACAACTCCTCTAATTGAGAATTAAGAATCATACACAACTATTAAATCTTGGATGTATATGTGATGTTGAGTTTTTCCTGACCTTGTTTATGCTCAAAAGAAGATATTTTACTGATGTATTTCTAAAGTTTCTTGAGAGGGTCAAGAAATTGGTGCAACTAGATCGCATGAGATGTAGGATGATGTATTTCTAAAGTTTCTTGAGAGGGTCAAGAAATTGGTGCAACTAGATCGCATGAGATGTAGGAGAATGTTCGGAGCTACTAGATGCCATATTTCGAATTATTGTGTCTTAGTTATTAAGGTGCAACTTTTGAATATATTTTTAGTGATTACTTGGGACAATCTTATCATTTGCAGCCCTATTTAATA